CTCAAAAAATGACCAGCCTCCCCCCCCCCAGAAGAATGATACGTACTGGAGTGGGAAATATCATGATTATTAGTACTAACCATTACATTTACTTGGCCCTTCTGGTCTCGATGATTTGGCCCCCACCTCTCCCCGGCAAGCCTGCCTCCCCCTGAGACTTGCATATATGGAAGGGGAAGCCATTTCACTACTATTGTTATTTTTGTTGTTGGGCCCTTCTCAAGTTTATCAACAACAGCATTGTTTATAAGCAACAGCCCTGTTTATGCACAACTACTAACTGCAATACGAAGTTCTTCAAACCTTTCGAGCAGAACCAACTCAAAAGAAGTATGCACCGGGAAGAACAACGCACATATCACAGAAGAAATATCGACCCTCCGAAACCGTGAAATTCCGAAACCTGCTACCTGATAAGACCCAAAAACGCGAAACAAGCGTTTTCATAGATGTAGGCCCCACGGTAACCCTTTCTGTAGAAATGCTCATAATATCAACAATGATAATGAACACAATAAGATATTGATGTATACACACCAGGTATACTAGCGCTACTAATCATGCTAATAATACTGATAAGACTCGATAAGACCAACAGTACTAAGAAGAAGAATAAGAGGAAGAAGCATAATGCCGACCCCCCTCCCCGAGCCCCCCGAAACACTGACGATAATGGTAGCGGAATTGGAAAACCTTTAGTCAAGAGTTTGATGGCCCCGCCACAATCGTTCTCCGCCCCCGAGCGAGGCTCCACCAAACCCCCTGCAAACGTCCTTGTTCTGTAAGTCGCCGTCGTCCCAGTCGCAGCGGTGCGGGTAGTGAGTGGCAGAGGTGTGGTCGTCCGTTGTAGCAGTCAAGAGCTCCTTAATCTCCGTGCACAGCCCAAACCACATCAATGATGGTTCCCCCGAACAGAGACAACAAGCAACACTGATCGTTCCCGCCACATTCCCCGGCACCTTCTCGGAGTGCCCCTTGACTTGGAGCCGGTTAGGGACGAGGCGAAAGAAACGGTAACAACTGGGGGCATCCAGTGCTTGCCAGCCAGTCAGAAATTGAAAGCCTGGCCGAAGGCATGTTGTGAAAGCGTGCTGCCACCGGAGGCCTGCAAGTCTTCTGTTATGTCGCGCACAATGTGCGCAATGGGGTTGTGACTACAGTTGCTTGTGCTGGATGTGCGCAGAGCATCTTGCTTCAGTCGTAGATGCAAGCGGATGGGCTCTCCAGTGTCAGAAGAGCATGTAGATGCACATTCGGCTCAGAGTTGAGCCCAAAAACTACACTTGAGGCATGCTGGGGCCGTTCCCCAGTGCTGCACAGGTACAACGGTACCGCAAGCGACAGAGCACGCAAGTACAAGAAAAGCACCCGACAGAAAGACTGCAAGTTCGAGACACGAGCTTCGCAGCGAGCTGTCGTTGCTAATCGCGTGAATCAACTGCCAGATCAGGCTAACTGTTTACCGAAAAAACGGTGATCCCGGCAGCATCCGTCACACATCGAGCTTCGCTTTCAGGTGATGGCCGAGGCACTCTCGGCAATGCTGCAAGCACACGGTCACCGCCAGGCCCAGAATGTGGGGATGTCAATGACGAGGTCCTTCTCGAGACGTCCTTGGCAAGTGTGTTTGTGTAGAACGCGGACCGAAGAGCCAAGCCCCTGCCCTTGTAACGAACCGTTCACACTTCAGGAGACAAATCAGAAACTATCAATGAGGGCGCTTCGCTGTTCGAGGGCTTCGTTGCTGCAGGCGATCTTCATTTCCCATTCTTACGGCACCTTTGTGATGAGCTGGGTGCTCCAATTCAGGAGAGGGTTTTGGGGAAAACGACGCAGGTGTGCAAGCAAGACATTCGGGTCTCGATGGGCTGCGGTAGACGTAGACCAAGAAACGTGATAAATGCAGTTGTGTGTGCGTGTGTGTGGGTGTGTGTGTGTTTGCGTTTGTTAGTTTGTTTGTGTGTCTTCTCTGATCGCATATGGCCTGTGAAGGCCATGTTTTGATCAGACCGATCAGCAAGCACGACCGCCAGGAGAGACTTCGTTGCAAAGGCTGTTTTGCTGGATCCGGTGGCTTTGCTCCTGGCCCAGCCGGACGTCGCCTACAACTTCCTTTACAGGCTCGTGCAGCATTGCCGGGTCACGTTGATGTTGACGGGATGAATCGAAGTGCATCGAAGTGACGTCAAGGCAGTCTGCACGACAGCACACCCAAACCCGTGCGTGTTCAGGCAGCCTGATCAGCCGATGCTCATGTTTGCAGCGCATTTTGCTGCTTGGCTAGAGCCCATATTATCCCAAGCTAGGCAAGGCCCTGTGTTGGAACTTGAGAATTTGACAGGACATAGTCATTTGTCAAGACATCTCTCTTCTCAACTGCAGTGGTTGAAACCGGATCAGTTCGAGTCGTCGAAGAGCGGAACGTAGTAAAGCAGCTTACGGTTGTGCAGCATGCTCGTGGGTCCTAAATCTACTGACCCAAACTCCAATGCTGAAAGGAGTGCAAACGCTTTGTTCAAGAATGCACGGCCCGGTGCGAAGCACAACATTCGTTGCAGCTTTGTGTGAAGCGTAATGCTGTAAGCAGTAATCCAATTCAGCGATGACCAGAGCGCCGTGAAGCAGCTTTTGACTCCTGCGCAGTGCAGTCTGGCATCAGCTTTAGTTGTTCGCTGCGCTATCCATCATCATCACAATGAAGCAAGAGTCTGCCAGCTGACAGCCGTTGACGAAGAGTCTTCGCACCAGGTCAGATGGGAGCTCTTTTCAGCCCATGTGTTGATGCGCAGCCTACCCAGCGAGCTGTCTCGGGCAGCAGTCTCTTTCCAGTAGTGCAGCATATGATTTTACCGTCAGTCTTCTTTGACTTCGCCCATGCGACGGTGACATTCATGTGAGGTCACTTCTACTGGCACCACAACGTGCTTTGGAAAGAGGACTTGCCTCCCAACTCACTTGTGGCTGCTTGATCCAATTATCGTAATCTCAACAAACTTCAGCCCGCTCGACGGCAAAGAAATGAGGTGCAGGATGAGCAGGGGTGCACACTGAAGTCAGCTCCAACACCGAGGTGCTTTCCAGCCATGATGACATTTGCAACTGAGCTTGCATTGCTACCGACAGAGATGAAAGGGAGAGAGGATCAGAGACGGGCAGAGGCGTGAGATCTTAAACAGAACCTCCCCGCAGACCTCTTGTAGCAAGGACACAAGCCAGTAGAGTGACGATGCGCCCTTGCCGCGAAAGCTTTCATCTAGCGAGGGAAGCGATGCGAGGACCGAAGAAAGAAAGACAGCAGGGCTCGGGAGGGCAGAACGAGGCTTCACAAAAGCACAGACTGCAAGGCAATAAGGAAGCGATGTGGGTGTCACAGATCTCGTGGAAGTAAGACCACGCCACACTCCCAAGCAGTGTCTTCATTTCTTGAAGATAGGCAGCTGCACCGCTGCAGGCCTAATGCCCTAGTGCCAACTTAAGACGTACAACCATTATCTTACTTCTGCAGTCCCCTATTCACATCCGTCGAACGGGCGAGTAGAGAGCTTGATCGACCAACTGAAAGCATCAAATGCCACCATGCTTTTGGAAGCCTTTCAGCCATCCCATGACCTGATGAGGCAACTCGCACTATGTGCGCCGTTATCTCGAGGACCACCAGCGTCAAGAAGCCACTGCGAAGTCGAAGCTGAGAGCTTAGATAAGAGAGCATACACCGGCTCGAGCAGTCTGAGATCTGTTCAACTAACTGGCAATGCGCAGGCTCGTGTCCAACACGGCTCGTAAACATTTTGGAGATATTTGGCGGTAGGAGCACCCTGGTGATGTTTTGGCGTTTACTTGTATATCTTGTATCCTGCAAACCGAGGCTGCAAGTGCTGTGGCTTGATGGCTTTTTCCATGGTGACTCGGATTCTGAAAGCCTGGATGGGCCCAGAGCGCCCACAGGCAGATCGAGACTCGAAAGTACCATCCTCGTGTTGTGAAAATTGCTATGGCCACATGTTTCGCCTTCAGGCTCCTTCTGCAGGGAGGCAGATACCCCTTGGTTTCAATTCTTAACCATGCTTAACAGCTAGGAAGCTGGCAGGCCCGAGGAATAGGAACTGGGACACAGCAGTTCAGCCTGGAACCTTGCACACATCAGGAGATAGATAGAAAGCATTCCGCAAACCGGCTGTCCGATGCTTTGTTATGCTGAGCCGCTGTTGTCTGGAATCTATGAAGAAGACGTGCAGCGGCAAGAACAAGAATAACAACAGCACCGGCAGCAACCATGACGACAAGAATGACGACGCGAGAAAGACGACGGGAATTACCACAATGCTAGGAAAAACTTCCCTCCTTTCTGTGCCACCAGCACGCTGAAGGACATCTTTTTATCATGCGTTTCTTTTGACGCTTCTGCGAGCCGATGTAGAAGGGGGAGCCAAATGGCATGAGGTGTTTGCTGCCCTGTCCACTCAGGTGGGATCCTTCTGAGCCCAGCGGCACAGACACAAGTTCTCGAGTTGATCTGAGGTTCGTTGAAGGAGAGTCAGGGAGTGCCAGGACCCTTAAATACTTTCCAGAAAAGATCATGGACGGCACGAAAGACTTCCGAAACCTCTGGGACGCCCCAGAAAGCTGGACGACAGTGACCCAGGCCACTCGCTTCGTGAATTAAGTTGGCACGCTTCTCCAAAGGAGCTTAAGAGAAGCTCATTGTAAAACAACGCTGTGTGCAAACGGCAGTTTGAGCTCTGGGCGCAGTCCCGAACCGAGGGCAAAAAGAAGCTGTCAAGCCTGCGATGAATCCTGCGGTTGGAATCAGCTGCACATCTGACAGACATCTCGCATCTAATCTAGATATCCACGGAAGGAGCGACCCATGGATGTCTGCAGCACCTAGATGCATCAGAGCATTCGGGGGATACATTGGCAAGGCTCAAGTTTTTGCACCGCGATTGGCTTTGCGACTGCACCCGCACTGTCCCGTCCTGTGGAGATGCACCATTTTGCAGGCGGAAGGCAGCGCTGTTCCTCCCCAGCTGCTGGACGCAGTCCCTTGGCACGTCGAAACATCAAGACGTCGACATCAAGCTGTCTACATCGAGCTTTCTGAGTTCTAAGCCTCTAAGCCATGGAGCTTGCCTCCAAGTAAGCTGTTGAGAAGACGATTCAAGACTTCAAGACGCCCTGCATCTTGCAGTGACCATCATATGTTCGTTTTCATTAAAGAGGGTTGCTTGCGGAAATGCTAGCTTTCAGCTGCACGATAATTGTGTTGGCTTTCGATGCCAGGTCTTGGCGGGAGGGGCGGCCACTTGCCTTGAATTAGGTCTTGCTTCAGATGCAAGGTGTCGTGGTGGCATTGCTGCGAACCGAACTGCTGCAAGAAGTTGATCCAAGGGCGAGTTGCCGAGATGTTGAGCCGGTATGTGGTGTTTTATTTGTTGTACGTAACGACTGCTGCAATCTGCAAGCATCCATCGTGAGTGTTGAAGGCTTGCAAGGACAACCGGAGATCTCAGGTCGTCCGCCAGGGCCGGGTCGTCCTGCGAGGACTGCGGCTGGTTAAGGTCCCGCGCATCTTGCTTTCGGACATGTTTGTGAGAAACATGGCTCGCTTCAGCCATGTAAACCGAGCAGGCACAGCAACTTGTGAAAAGTTGCACGCACTTTGGACACGCCCAACCAGTGCATCTCGAGATGTTTTCACCCCCCCAAATTCCTAGTCCGCACATAATGGCGACGACTGCAGCACGAAAGCACGAGTCAGAGCCTGGGAGATGGCGACTCCATGCCAGGACTTGAGACTTGCCTGAGCATTTAGATTAGAAGGCCGAATAGCGTGGCCCTGCTAGGACTATGGACATTTCGAGTTCCTGTTCCTGCAAGGAAAATGGCACCAAATATTGGTTTCACAGCAAACTCGTCGTCTTGGCGGACGGCTCCGATGCAGGACAGTGGTGAGCACGATTTCCGCACCGTGCCACGGCGGGAGCCCAGATTTGCCGCACTGCCAGCCGCCTTTCTCAGCCTTAATAATAGTACCGAACCTTGGACTGTAGACTATCGTGTTACCATGCTTCGTGGGAATGAGAACGGGTAAAAGCTTTCCTTGGCAGCAAGTTCTCTACACGCCAGGCCTTGCGTGTGGGCAAAGCCGCTGGCGCGCTTGCTTCAGCAGGTCGATTGGCCTGTCACGGCGGTCGGGACGCAGGGCAACAATGGGTTGGCTTTGCCTGCTTCACCGTGACATGGGAGCCAGAGAAGCGATAGTTCGACGACACACAACGTGTGTTAAAGCCTTTGACTTTAGTCGATTGTTCAGTAAGGATGCTGCATCAACTTTTGGATCGCGGTTTTCCACAACCTGGGCTCTGGGCTTCTAGCAAGTGGTGGGTATTAGACATGCTTCATGGCATTGTCTTGGGATCGTTCCACCAACAGGATGAAGTAGGACACGCACAGGAGTGGAATGAGCTGACTAGTTCTGCATTGCTGCTATGCGACAGGCACGAGCTGGGCCAACCTGGGAGGCTTCGTCGGCCAGGTCACTGCGATTTGATTTGGATGCTGGAAAGCGGTTCCACACGCTTCTGCTCATGTTCAGATTGCTAGTTTGTCACAGGCCATAGCTGGAAGCCTTCTCGACGATGGCAACTCAACAACCGCGATGGCTACGGCCCTTCGAACTTGTTTCACATCGTGACAGCCGGGGCAGTTTGCAGGGGCAGCATTCAGTCATGGCATGAATGTCTTGTTTCAGCGAGTATGCTGGTCACGGCAGCAAGCGCTTGCAACCTGCCGTGCTACATTCCCAGGACCTCCTGGCCTCCTCTTAGTCCGGCATACAGTTGAAGAGAAATGCAGATGTCGAGTGACACACTGTGCCATTGAAAGCAGTTTAACGCAGGCAGCCGGGGGCTGGGCTGGAGGCTTGGCAGGCGGGCGATTGCTTGGTCGCACCAAGGCTTTTTGGCCAGAGAGCCTCACCGTGACTTGTCATGGCTTGGACACTGAGCCCGACTCCGATTGCCTCATCGACTCACGCAAGAGAAGCCGACAGCTGACTCCGTCTCCTCGAGCTCGACAGGAAGCGGAGTTGCCGCTGCTGCGGCCTCCAGCTTGGGAATTGAGGCAGCAGGGGCACGGCATGTCAAGCTTGTGCCGGGTCATTTAGTTTTACTGGGTTCGCGCATGTCTGAGACATGCTTTGAGCGTGCTTCAGCCGTTGGGGTCGGCAGCCTTTGATTCAGTGTCCATCTATGTCCATTTGATGAGGTACACTGGACTTTACACTTTACACTAGCTATTCAGCACAACCTGCCTGTGACGCAGTGTCTACTTCGTCTAGGTGGCTGTTGCTCCGACTAGGCCCTGGGTGCCGGCTCTGTGGCTGGAGGCTTGGTGGTGTGCGGCTCCCTCAGCGCTGTAGGCGCACCTTGGCGGCAGTTTGGCTCCCATGCCGGTGCTCGGCTGGAGCACAAAGAAAGCAGAGCTTCGACTTTCACCCTGAGGCCGTGGCCGGCGCTGGCCTCGCCTTCGCCGTGAAGCGTCTCTTGGTGGCCGACAAGGTGCTTCAAGGGGATGTATCGACCGAGTCGAAACAAATTATTCATCTGATTACTGTACCTTTGTTTTTGCATCTAGTTGATCTCGCTTCTGCTCCAACGGTATGTTTGCCCTGCGTCGTATCAGGGTGCGCAGCCCGACCGGAGCGCCGAGTTCCTTGGCTTGGCAGTGCAGAGTCGCGAGACAAGTACAGTAGGGGCTTTCTCTCTGGGGCCTGTTCAGTAACCATTCTGGGCACAGATCTCGTGAGCAGAAGCGAACTCAGATCTCCCCGAACAGGATCCCGGGTCAGCGGCACTACCTGTCCTGCCTTTCCTCCTTTCTGCATTTTCGGGAACTCGTCATCCATCCGCACACTGTGCAAAGACGCGCTCGCGACCTGCGCACGCACGTGCCGTAGGGTAAAATGCTTTAATGGCGGAGACCATTCAGAGTCTTCAACTACTATTTCCTGAGACACGTAGATCACTACAAAGAGAACGGCGAAATGCAAAAGATCTCAGAGAAAGACTGTTTCGCCCAGAAGCCCTGGCCGACACTTCGTACATGAAGTTCTGCGGCAAAGTCCGGTAGATCTGCACCATGCTCGATTCCTCTGCTGTGCAGCTGAGATACTTTGACTGTCCTCTACGTCTTCTCGGCAGTGCAGATGATGCTTCCAAGATGCAAGAAATGTCTATACAATTTGGAATTCGGGTGATGCCTGGGCCATGTATGGCCATGTTAGGTATCGAATCAAGCATCTCAGGTCTTTCACCTTTTTGGCGCGAGCCTCGAGTTCCCTCCAGAAGACGGACACTCTGACCAACAGGGGACTGGAGTTTAGGGCTGGGCGTGGGCCTGCTTCGCGAGACCGCCCAAGAACCCAAGCTTTATCGCAGGAGGAGTCTCGAGCCTCACATGCAGCATCTTGCAACCGTCTCTGCTCTGGCTGGAGCCAGGAGTCGTCACAAATGGTGAGACCGAAGAGACGCCGCTTGTCATTCGTAGTATTTCGCAGTGGTTTGGGTTGCAACTGTGCTCTGGATCTTGTTTGTAGCTCGTCTTCACACGATCGCAGCACGTCGCGTGGCAGGCCGCGCTTGGCCGCCGCAGGGTGGTACGCAGTGAGAGTGTCAGGGGCATTGCCGGCAGACTGATGCCCGTGCAAAAAGACTGGCTATGACATGACGAGAATCAGCATCCCGAGTGCCTGCGACAGTTCACATGACTCGCTAGAATGTGTCTCGGTGTTTCTGCTGGGACATCTCCCTGACAGTACCTATTAGATAGCGGCAGTCCGGATCGTCTGCATCACTACCAACCCAAAAGATCTGCTCATGATACCATTTTCGAGGAAACGGAGCTACCAACGAACCGGAAGCTGCACTCCTTCGGTGAGCCAGTGCCTTGGGGGACGCTGGACGTGCAAGAGCCGTGGCATTCTGAATCAACAGCTCTCTTGCTGCGAGGTTCCATGGCGGAAGAGGAAGCAGTTACTTGCCGGGACAGCTGCTACAGCAGTCCAAGCCCCTGCTGCTCATGTTCAGACTTGAGATCTTCACAGCGCCAAGGGACACAAGTTTCTGCAGTTGCGCTTCAGAAGGAGAGAAAGCGTCACGGAAGGATCCGCCCCTCCGAGGCGCTTGCCCCGCACGTTCAACGAAAGCATGGGGCATGTCGCACAAGAAAGACGCGAGGCTCGGGGAGACGAGGATCGAAAGAAAGAGCAGAGGTTTCTCTCAGGGAAGAACTGGCTTCTGCTGCCGCTCCTTAGCGAGAGATCACCCCGAATCCTTAGAAGTCCTCGAGCCTGCGAAAACCACTGGCCCAGTGACCTAAGCTGTGAGGGAGAAGAAGAAAGCCAGTCTTCGAAACCTCTGAATTTTCAATTCTGCGAGGTCGCGCCATGTGCACCAGCATGTCTTTCGGATCCATGATCGTACTGATGTGTCTGTACCACAAAACCAGGGGACCCCCAGGAAGGTCAAGGTATGTCGACGCCTACTCCTACGCTATCAAACATTTATTAACTGGGGCCAAGCCACCACAACCGGCATGAGGCAGACAACTGCTTGGTCACGAAGATCCACGAAAGCTGGACATGCGTGAGAAAGCCGGGCCTGATTAGAAAGTGAAAGCTGTGAAGCAAAGGAGGCACATCAGAGGCGAGTTGAAGAGGACAAAGGCGACCCGCGCCCACCTATGCTCAGGCTGTCGGCGAAGGCATTCAAAAGCCACAGCACAGGTGATCACCGGTGCTGAGACGGGCAGAAGAGCGGGTCACATTCGGAAGAAGACAAGGTCAGGTGAGCCCTTGGTAACCAAGCTCTAGAAGATCCTGCTCCTGATGCGGGCCTGGGGAGATGGAGAAATGGGGAGGTAAACTGACAGGGACTGCATCAGTCAACGACGGCAAGCCAACCCCCTGCCCCTGACCGACAGACTCCACCTGATTGGCCCAGAGCGGATAGTCTGAAAGCACCAGGAGGAAACGCATGTCCACGGACCGTGCAAGGCACAAATTGGGATTGGAGTTTGACTCTGAGTTTTGGAGGCCTATGGTGTGCACGGCGTGCATGGTGTTCCTGGCCTTGCGGGTCTCGGGCACTTTCCTGGCACAGCCTGGCCTCCGCGGAGCCTCGCCGCTTGACATAAAATTGAAAAGTGGCTGGCTGGGACCGGGGCATTCGACGTGCTGGGCTGGCATTTGTGATCACGGACTGATACATAAGTTAGATTACATGAGGCGTTTACAGTCTGGCATTTGTAGCCCCTGCCGACCCACCTTGGTTGCTTCGCCATGTCGTGTTGTTCAGATTTTTCCTTGCATGCGCAGTTTGGACTTCGCATCTGCAACTGAGGCAGTTCAACCTGATGCCGGGAACTTACATTTCCGGACCTTTGGGTCGGCTGCTTCTCACAGTTGGCTGGCTATGGCTGCAAGGGAAAGGCAGCTCTAAATTGCAGGTGCAAGGCGGTGCAAGATTGAAGGCTTTGTTACAATGAAACGGGTCTCGAGGGACTGAGACTCAGGACGGTCGCTAGGTTGCTCTCAGTGGGGCTTTGGATAGCCCCAAAGCCCTGGCAGCGGCGTCTCAGAAGCGCTCGAAATCGTTTCGGATAGTCAAGTTTCTCGGGATCGGCGAATGTGCAGAACTCAGAATCGAGATGATACTGTGAGGGACCATACTGCGGATGTGCAAGGAGAATCTTGCTCTGCTGAGGACGATGGCCTTCTGAGCAACCGTGCTCGTACCTTCAACGGCAGCCCGGGCACATGGACAATCCTTCTTGTGTCCTGGGAAGCGTTGAAACAGCGTTCATTGCTTGAATTCGGGCCGAGTTACTGAGGCCTGCCGGGTGATCGCTGTGGAAGCTCCCCTGTGCAGACGCCGGCCGGCACCTTCATTGCGAGCGCGCTCAGATTCTTTGCTTGCTTCTTCCTGTTGCAACCTTTCCCAGACCCTTGCGTTGCAGAATGTTGGAAACTTTTGAGAGCTGCTTAAGGCTAAAGTCTGGTTATCCCAGCCAACCAGAAAAGCACAGTGCGCGCGAATCAAGCATAGATTGGCATAGATCAGGCGACACCTACCTGGAGTGAGTCCGGCGAGCACGGTGCCCAACTGACTTCGAGCTGGGTGTTCGAACCGTCGTTTCAACCAATCGAGTGGTTTCTCCCTGTGAAGCAGTCCAACACTTTGAGCCCAGGAATCAGCAACCATGTTGCAAAGGGTGGCTCAGCAAAGCCTTTGAGAAATCATGTGAAGACTAGTGAGTCTAGTGAGGCAGCACGGCCATGCACGGCCCAAAGCTTCAAACGCTCAGACAAACAGCTATAAAGGGGCTGCTCCTGTTCCAATCCCATCCCAGTTCCAGCAAAACATGCCTACCCCTGCGTCCAGATCAAATTCCAGGCAAGTATGAAGAATAACAAAACATCGCCAGCTCGCTGGGTGACCTGCAGTGTTTGCAAAATTGCTGCAGCCATATTCATGACATGTTTCCCGGTCGACCTTGTCTTGATCAGTCCTCGTACTCTACTACGCGAACCCCGCCAAAACTGAAGTTGCGCGGTCCTCGAATCCACGCCAGAAAGCGGAGGTTTGCAACCCGCCGCGACGATCCCTGCAGCCCACTCTACATCCAGGCACTGTCAATAAACAGGCCTTTGTCGGAAAGGCAATTTGTTCATTGCAGGCAACTCCGCAACGATGGGCGAGCGAACACTGCCAGGCTCGGGCTGCTTCTGCCCAGCTGCCTTGAGGTCATATTGCGAGAAAGCACCTAGTGGCCTTTGGAGGCTCTGTTCTTAGTCAAACAACTTGCTTGCCAAATGCCGTCCTACAGCTCCATGTTGAAAAGGACATTGGCATCAGCTGAACTTGGCTCTCCTGCGATCACGAATATGCCTGTTTCTGCACCTGCTGCACCATGGCACAAATCCTAGATGTCACGGATAACCCGCAGACAAATTGTATTGGTCTGCCTATCCGTTTGCCGCTTTCTGCATTCCTTGTCATTGTGCTGTCCGTCTCTTGGTACGTCTGTTTGTTTGCATCCCTCTTCGCAACCTCAGCTACAAGCATGCCAGAACCTGTTGTGCCAGGAAATGTCACAGCCATCAACTGGGCTACCCAGCACACAAGCTTACCGTGGTGACTTGGACTTGAATCGAAATCGCAGACTTCGTGAACAGAAGGGTGGTGTGACTTTGCGGTGAAGCCTTCCCGGGCAAGTTGCAAGTTGCGCTAGGGAGCGTACATGTGTGCCGAGACGGCATGCTTTCCACGGCCCCATTATTGTTTTGCGCAGCGATCGGTAATTGGTGTTGGACAGGTGCGCAGGGGCCATTCTGAAACTGCAGGAGAGTTGCAAGCGAGGCTTGACAACCGAGATTGCACTCACATGAGCAAGTAACTACCATGAGATATCAACACTTACAGGTAGCATTGCACGGCTCTCGAAAACCCGTCGAACCTAGACTTACGACTTAGACACTTCCCGCTCAAGAGCCACACCGCTTGTGCAAGGGGAACTCTTTCTCCTGCAGTAGGCGACTTACGGATTCTCAACCTTCAATCTTGTCACTGCAGACAGGGAAGCTGAATCACACGGCGAGAAGTGGACTCTTCTGCAATCCAGATGCCAAAGGGCCGCACGGCCTCGAGTGTGGTAGCAAGGTTTCTTCTTTGCGCTTTCCTTTTCTGAGGCTTTGCTGGCTTGTTGGCGCGTTCCGTGCGGCTCCCAGCAACGTCGCCTCGACAGAGGAAGTCATATGAATCGCGTGCTCCTGCATCGGAACGTCTTGTGTGCATCTTGCACCAATAAGCGAGTTTGTCAGCGGACAAGGGATGCTCACGAAAGTCTTCCGCCCGATGCTGCCGACCCCGGAACATGGACCTCTCATGATGGATTGCCCTTGTATCAGTAGCAAACGAATTCAAGCTCCCCTTCCTCGTTTTGACTAAGGATCCACAGTCGTTCTACCCTGAACCCAGCTTGTAGTGGCGAGGGTGCAGCTCCCAGTCAAGAGTCGAGAGGGCTAGTGATGCCAAAGGCGGCTGTGGAGTATGCAAAGTCTACAGACCTGTTACCATCGCTGTACGTACATCGCGTCGCTGGAGCGAGGTAGTGTGACCTCGAGAAATGGTCGCTTGTGAAGTTGACTTGCAGCCGAAAACCGTGCGAGCAGAACAGGTGCGGCACCTGTACCGCAAGTTTCACAAATCATGACCCCAGAACACTTCCCGACACCCGAAAATTGTGTGTTTCCCGAACAAAAGAT